TTTTTTGGTTTCCCCCTAAATGTTTATGGAATCTATGGCGAGACTCAACTTAAGGATTAGCTACCCCTCCCCCCGAATAGGATTGTTCGAGTAGGTTCGGCTTGAGCGTCATGAGACCAATATAGGCTATGGTACTTAATGTAGCATTAATGTACATTGACTCCTCAAAGATTGAAGTTTAACAAATGAACTGCATGTTGGCATAGTTAAAGTCCTCATAGTCTCTAACTAAAGTACACACAAAATTAATTCTTGCTGGGGGTGTTCAGAAACAATACCAAAAACAAATAAACAATATCTCAACATTGCCAAAAGTAGTGATTTAAGCAACTAGAAAACAACGTTTCAACATCGACAAAAGTAGTGATTAAGCAACTAGAAAACAATGTTTCAATGCGTCACTCACCCTGATTGTCTCACGTTATCACGTCTGAGTTGTTATCTTAACACTTAATTAAGCTTAGACTTATTTAGTTTCTGCTTGGACGACCCTTTTCCCCACGAGGTCTGAGTTTGTGGGATCTTTGTCTCCTGTGGAGTTATTGAATGCCTTGTGTAGTTTGAATGCAATGCCTCTAGTTTGCAGTGGTGCTCTGTGGAGTGGTCTGGATTGCTGAAACTGGCCACAGACCAGGCACCCTTTTATGTAGTTTCTTCGCAGGACTGAGTTAATTTTTTTGTCTGTGAGTTTCTTCTGTCCTGCTTATGTATTTTTTTTGTTCTAATTGTTCCCTCGGGTTTTTCATCTCTGTTCCCTGACTGCCTTTTGATTTATCCTCCTGGTCCTGTTGATCCGTCCTCCTGGTCCTGTTGATTCATCCTCCTGGTCCTGTTGATCCTGGATCATCAGATCCTGGCATGTCCCCGTCCTCTGAGGACACATTTTCATCTTTCCCTCATCTCACTCACCTCATTTCTGTTTCTTCCTCAGTCTCTGAAATTACAACGTCACTGTTAGAATGAAGATTATTGCTCAATAAAAAATATGACATGTCTTATTTAACACTGTTCATACCAAAGTTTAATTTAGAACAACATGTGTGATCACTGGTCAGATCACTGGTCAATGGATCAACATGCAGTGGAAGTTCTGCTGTTCTTCTCATCTGGTTCTGGTCCATGAACAAATGGTTGAACCTCCTTCAGTCTCACACCTCCTGACTGTGTCTCTGTGAACTGTCCTCTCTCTAAATGTGCCTGTAGAGTGACATTAGTTTATTTTCTTGTACATTTCTTTGACAGTTCAACATTTTGAGCCCTGATTGAAAATGTTTGTGCAGATTAAATTTACAGCTCTCACTTTGTGTTGTTGTGATGATGATGAAAGTGCTCCTGCTGAATTGAGATGATGTCATTAATAAACAGTATAAATAGTAGTAAAGGTACTTTATTAAAGCTTGTTTTACATTTTACATATTTTATAATAAATTGTTTGGTAATTTATTTTTGCACAGTTAACACTTATTTTGTCATCTGTTATGATTTTAACTAGAAACAGTTTCATTTAAATTAACATTTTAATCAATGAATTACAATTTTACAATAGTTGTCAGACTACAAGCACAATCAACTCAGTTATCCAGGTCCTTGGTTGCCATAAAAAAAAAAAAAACGACAAATACAACAATTATATTCAGTCTCTCTTGTAAATGAGTCCTCGTGGCTCAATGGGACAAACCTGTCTAAATAAAGGTTGAATTAATATCTTCTATAGAAATCAAGAATTCATCCAGATGATCTAAGGTAAACTGGAGCAGATCTGAACTGCTGCATGGAGGACAAGGTGGAGCATTATTATGCAGAGAACATCAGAAATGGCTTTATAACAAGTGTTACTCTTATACTCTTATAAAACACTGATATGTCTATATTGATCATTGTATTGCATATACATTTTTTTTCTAAAAAAATATGTGTTTGCAGTCTCGTTTCCTTCTAAAATTTAATGATAAATGTATCAGCCGCTTCTAAAAATGCTTTGATAAAATGCATAGTCTGTGAAATAATCAGTTCGTTACTGCTCAGTAATTACTGAAAGACATCCGGTAAAGTAAGAAAAGTTGATTTTTGTGTTATGTTGCGTCAGCAGCCGCTCAAACTGACTGACAGGGATGAACTGTTTGGAACTATTGGGAGCTGCATGAACCACATGACCGCGAATCGGCGAGTTCAAAGAGTGTCGCAACTCTCTTTATAGGGCTCTGGTATGAACTAAACACACTTTTGATTATCAAGATATTGTAAAATAGTAATGATAATGTAAAAAGAAGAGTGTTCTTTCAATTGATTAATTTAGGATACAATTAAATAGTCTCTTGATGAGATAATTTGTATTTCTGGATTCAAATCAATGAAATAACAGTTCCTGTCCCCTGAAGGTCTTCAGAGACAGATTGATGTCGGAGGCCTAGTTCACTACATAACACTGTAAGTGAAACAAGGCATTTCTTCAGTTGCTGTAAATTATGCTATAATACGTATAAACGCTCTCATTCCAGAAAACAACAAACAATGACAGCCTTCATGATGAAAAACGTTATGGACACCACAGCAGCAGCTGTCTTCACTGAAAGCGTCCTGAACATGATCGTCAGTGACATGAGGCCTCTGTCGATGATTGAAGATGAAGGCTTCACTACAATGATCCACACTTTTAATCCAGGTTACAATAATCCACACATTTAATCCAGGTTACACTCTTCCCTCAAGGACACATTTTACAAAGTAGCTACATATTTTGCAGATATAAAGCCTACATTTGAATATATTTTTGTGTATATTTTTTTAAGCTATTTGACTAACTTTTATTTTTTTTATTCAATATTTTACTAACAGAATAGTCAAATAGCTATCTGTTTTTGTGCGAATTGCTATGTCAGTCAAATGTTCAATTTTGGAATAAAGGGGTGGAAATTAAAACTTTTTTTTTTCTCGATTCATCGATTAATCAAAAAAATAATCGGCCGATGAATCGATTATTGAAATAATCGTTATTTGCAGCCCTACTTCAGTCAGAGCCTTCTTCAGATCCGTTGTAGGACAGACCACTACAAGAGCTCCTTCCTGCCCACAGCCATCAGTATCTATAACAACTCTAATGAAACCAGGATGATGAGTTACATTTAATTTCCCTCTGGGATTAATAAAGTATTTTTGAATTGAATTTGAATTGAATTGAGACGAGCTGGTCTGGGAAGCACAGTCCTCACCTCCTTCGTCAGGTGTGCAGTGGAGAGCATACTGTGCTCCAGTATCAACATGTGGCATGGAGGCTGCACAGGTGCAGAAAGAAAAGCTTTGCAGAGAGTGGTGAAGGCTGCACAGAAGTCTGTTGGAGCCAGTCTCCCCACCATCACAGACATCTACACCTCCAGATGCAGGAATAGAGCCACCTGCATCATGAAGAATTATCAGCAGCAGCACGACGGATCAGTGGTTAGCACTGTTGCCTCACAGCAAGAAGGTCCTTGGTTCAATCCCCGGTTGGACTTGGGATCTTTCTGTGTGGAGTTTACATGTTCTTCTTGTGCTTGCGTGGGTTTTCTTCGAGTACTCTAGTTTCCTCCCACAGATTAAAATCATGCATGTTAGTCTGCCTTCAGGCCCAGGACTCCCTTGCAAAAGAGATCTGTGATCTCAATGGGATTTGCCTGATTAAATAAAGGTTAATAAATAAAAGTACCACACTCACCCAGCACACACAATTTTTGCCCCGCTCCCCTCAGGAAGGAGGTTAAGGAGCATTAAGTATAGAACAGCTTCTACCCTGAAGCTGTTAAGATTCCAGTATACTTGGGAATACGTCAGTCCGCGTGTACCGGATTAGAGTTGAAGCGGATACCTGTAGGGCACATCCATGCAAAGCTAAATTTTTACGACCGTGTACTTGTACTCTGTGTCGAACAATAAACTGCCCGGGGACTGACTGTTTTGTATGCGACACCAATGTATTAAATTCCCTTCATCTCTGATCTGGTTTAATGGCATGGTAAATGGTAAATGGACTGTACTTATATAGCACCTTTCTATCTAATTTCAAGATACTCAAAGCACTTCACACTACAATCTGTGTCCTCATTCACCCATTCATACAGCACTCTACTAGATCTCTACAAAGCTAATTGAACAAATCATTCTAATGAGACTAATCAGTGCTTTTAGATCACATTCATACACTGATGGGACACACATCAGAGACTATGAGGGGTTCAGTGTCTTGCCCAGGGACACTTCGGCATGTGACCGCTGGTGGATTCGAACCCCCAACTCTCGCATTGGAGGACGACTGCTCTAACCACTCAGCCACAGCTGCCCCTGTTGTTTTTTTTTTTTTTCTAAAAGGCAAGCAATCTCTTCCTTCTCGTCCATTGACACTATGACTGAAATTGTGAGAAATTAAGGAATTTGTCACGAGAGAATTTAAATCAGGTCCAGCGTGGCTGTGGGAGAGTCTGGTGATATCCTGGTGGGCTGGTCTGATGTGTGGGCTGCACACATCAGATTGTAGATAAAACCAGCAACCAGCCGAATCCAAAAAGCAGGAACCAGTTATCGAAAATCCAATTAAATATGTGTCCTTAAAATCCACAGATGGCAACAGAGATAGACACATCATCAAGTTTTCCAGTTGATGAGATATCAAGCTGCGTACATGCCAACAGGGCAAATCAGCTCTCCTAAAGCCTGTCTTCTCTTCAAAGAAATGTTGTAAATTGAGTTGAGGGACCAACTGATCAATGCAAGTCCATAATTATGGTTCGGAAGATATGCAAGTGAGGCTCACAGGCAGTTTCACAAACAGACAGAGCAGCAAAGCAAAGCAAAGAGGGAAGGGAGAAGCATCTGATCTCGGCGAGATCAAGTGAACTTCACCAATTAAAAAACATCTTATGAACTATGTTTAATGGTGGTTTAAATGTGCAGCTCTTATTTTGAAGCTCAGAGACACGGAAGTGTTCCTGTTCTAATCCCAGTAATCTGAGCAGCAGATGGAGCTGCTCAGTCTGTTCTGAGCTGGACGATTGAACATCCCTCACCATGCCTCTGTTCGGGTTGAAGGCTATTGTTGGAGAAAGTAAGTTATTTTGATTCATTCTTTTAATCATGGTCAAGATGCATTATTTTCACCCAGAGAACAACTGTCTTAATCCACTGTAATCTGAAGTATGTTCATCATCATCAGAGTTTGATGTGTTAAAGAGGTGGACTCACAAAGAAGCGTGCAGCCTGAAACATTTTCAGCCAGATGTGATGCTGAATGGTGTTGGAATGGACTGGGTTTTTCCTTTTTTATGATGAACAGGAGCTCAGAGTCCTGGATCTGTGTAAATCCTGCCTCTCTAATCTGTGTCTGTGGATTAACAGCTGTGACATCATTCTGATTGGACCAGAGTAGCAGAGGGTCTGATTTCAGCACACAATAAAAAAAAACCTTCATATTTAACTTGCAGGCGGTTAAAGAACAACAGGAATTATAGGAGAATGTATATTTATAATCCTCAGTAACAAAACAAATGTAACAAAAAGTTCTTGATCGAGAAGCTTTTCTTTTAAAGAAGGTATATAAACTCAGTCGTCCAGGTAGATAAACCACAAACAAAGGTTAAATCATGTGATCTGGACAGTTTCTTCTAGGAACAAATGTTTTGTCTTTCATCTGAAAGACTTCATCAGTCTGAGGCCTGCCAACAACATCTGTCTTATAAATAGCACCTTATTGATGTTTCAAACCAGCCTGCTGTGGAAATCCCAGAAAATGGATTTACACATGCAAAAAATAATCTGTTCAGACGACATGATTTAATTTTTTTTGTGATTTTTTTGTTGTTGTTTCTTTTAAGAATGAAGACATTTGTGAAGTCAGTTGTGGTTTTCTATGGAATGAGTTATAGCTCTTTGGATCAAACTTTGTAAATAAAGTGATGCTGTGCAGCCTCCAGCTCCAAACAGGCTCTGCTGTTGGTCATCTCTGCAGTTTAGGTCCAAATCTGTCAATTTGACCGAGATGGAGCCATTTCGGAGTCTTTTAACGTCAGTCAGAAACACACAGGTCAGAACATTCTCGGTGTTTTGGTGCAGCTGGTCACACAGGAGATGTTCCATCCATCCATCCATCCATCCATCCATCCATTTTCTTTACCCGTTTATTCCATTTTGGGTCACGGGGGTTGCCGGTGCCCATGTCCAGCAATCACTGTGCGAGGGGCGGGGTACACCCTGGACGGGTCGCAAGTCCATCACAGGGCCACATAGAGACAAACGAGACAAACAACCATTCACTCTCTCACTCACACCTAGGGACAATTTAGAGTTACCAATCAGCCTAACATGCATGTTTTTGGTCTGTGGGAGGAAACCGGAGTACCCGGAGAAAACCCACGCATGCACGGAGAGAACATGCAAACTCCACCCAGAAAGGCCCCCGGACCGGGATTTGAACCAGGGACCTGCTCACTGAGAGGCAGCAGCTCTACCAGTTGCGCCACCGTGCTGCCAGGAGATGTTCCATGTGTTTTAATTCAGCAGAGACACAGACAGCATGAACAGGTCCAACCTCAGTGCTTTTATTGTGACGAGACTCAACTATGTAATGATGGTAAACAATCTGAGGTCCACATGCAAATATTATTGGCCCCTAATATTCCTTGTGTCTGCTTTGCTTTGCCTTCGATCCAGAAGGCTTCATCAGTCAAGGAAACACACAACAAAACTGATTCTTCCCCCAACAGCTTACTTCAAAGTGGAACAAACAGAACTGGTTTGTTCCACTTTGGAGTAAGCTGTTGGGGGAAGAATCAGGTTTTTGGGAGTTTCCTTGACTGATGAAGCCTTCCAGATCAAAGGCAAAACGTTTCAGCACAAAAAAAAAAAAAAACTGTCCAGATGACCTGACTGAAAAATGTTGGATTTTATACCTGGATTATTGAGCATGGACTTTGTTGTTCAGCCCAACAATGTTCAGTCAGGTCATCTGGATGGGTTCTTTTTTTGTTGAGACGTTTCGTCATGCCAAAATGGTTCAAAACACCCAAGTCCATGCTCAATAATCCAGGTATACTGTACCAACAATGCTCAGTCAGGTCATCTGGATGCTTTTTTTTTTTTGGGGGGGGATATTTGAACCACTTTGGCATGGCTGCCTCAGAGGAGTTGATGGGGGAGATGGTGGGCCCCAGAAACCATCTTATCACTAGCAAACTATTTTTTTCTACTATGGGAGTGTGCTTCTTGTGGGACTGAGTTTGTTGTGGCTCCTCAGACTGAAGAAGTCCTTTGAATGAAGGACAAAACATCTCATCAAAAAAGCAAACCATCCAGATGACCTGACTGAACATTGCTGGATTTTTTTACCAGGATTATTGAGCATGGACTTTGATGTTTCTAACTCAGTCTTTGACATGTGGAAATAAATAAATGATCTAGAAGTCATCAAATCATTTTGACAGAAACATGCAATGACAAAACAATGTCATGTTGGCAACAAGAAGAACAAAATACTTCAATTTATTTTCCATGATTCTGACTTAGGCAACACGGTGGATCAGTGGGTAGAGCTGCTGACTCTCAGAGAGAAGGTCCTTGGTTCAAACCCCGGTCTAGGGGCCTTCTGGGTGGAGTTTGCATGTTCTCTCCGTGCATGCGTGGCTTTTCTTCATCTACTCCAGTTTCCTCCCACAGACCAAAAACATGCATGTTAGACTGATTGATAACTCTAAATTGGCCCTAGGCGTGAGTGAGAGAATGGTTGTTTGTCTCATTTGTCTCTATGTGTCCCTGTGATGGACTTGCGACCCGTCCAGGGTGTACCCCGCCCCTCGCACAGTGATTGCTGGACATGGGCACTGGCGACCCCCGTGACCCAAAATGGAGTAAGCGGGTAAAGATAATGGATGGATGGATGGATTTTCATTCATTCAATTTTTATTTATACAGGTTAATCACACTGAGCCTCGGGGACTCATTTACAAGAGAGAAATTAATTTTAACAAAGAGTGATGACAACAGTGGATAACAACAACAACAATAGACAATCATAAAATAGGCATAGGCATACAAATTTAAATTTTTTTGTTTGTTTTTTTACAAATCAAAACAATCAAAACAAAATAGAAACCAAAAGGACAATCAAGAGGAATAGTAGCAAAAAAACAGCTAGATTATAAGGCGATTTAGAAAATTAAAAACAAGAACATGTCTGCATTGGTTTTTGCCAGGAACTTGGATGGATGATGAATGATAGATGGATGATGAATGGACGATGGAGGGATGATGGATGATAGATGGATGGATAATGGATGGATGGATGATGGAGGGATGATGGATGATAGATGAACCATAGCCCCTGCAGTACTAGCAGAAGAAGCTTTAATTACGAAGGTGTAAGCAGATGTTTGGCTTTATAGGTGTCAAAGAAATGTTAGAAAGGGACATGTCTGGCCCAACAGCCACTTATTGTTTAGACCTGATCTTAGCAAGAACAGGTTTTACTTAAAGAATGATGTCAAAGTAATCAAGACTGAATCAAAATAAAATATGATTTGACAGTTTGCAAAAAGAATCCATCACACATGAAGATTTTAAGATGGACTTGTGTAAAAGAACACACCTGTGGATGACAGGAAGTTACATGTGGATGACAGGAAGCTACCTGTGGATGACGGGAAGCTACCTGTGGATGACAAGAAGCTACCTGTGGATGACAAGAAGCTACCTGTGGATGACAGGAAGCTACCTGTGGATGACAAGAAGCTACCTGTGGATGACAGGAAGCTACCTGTGGATGACAGGAAGCTACCTGTGGATGACAGGAAGTTACATGTGGATGACAGGAGGCTACCTGTGGATGACAAGAAGCTACCTGTGGATGACAGGAAGTTACCTGTGGATGATCTCTTTCCTCTGTCAGCTCAGAGCTACAGTCATTATGGTGTTAGCTGGGGTCACTTAGCTGTGGTGTCCATCTTGATTCCAAAAGTTAATTAGTGGCAGATGTTCATATGATGATTACTGTCTGAGTGTTTAATTCAAACTCACCTAGTGGTTTATAAGATATTTTGCTAACATACACTGTAGAATATGTAGTATTCCTGTGTGTTGGGTTGGTGGGTTAGGGTAGTAGAGATTCAGGCAGCAACACGATGAAGGTGTGTGACGCTCCGGTGCAGCAGGCTCTCAGTTGTTGTTCAGAAGCTGCTTGTGGTCTCAGCTGTGGTGTTGTCTGTTCTTAGGACTTCAGCTCTTCTTCTTGCTCTGTGTCAGATAGTTGTTCCCTGTTCTCCATCGTTCCTCATCATAAGACGAGTCGAGTAGGAAACTCTGCTGTGATAGAAAATTTGGCCATTCATGAGGTAGTAATGGATTTAAACCTGCACGTTTGTGACCAAAAGAAGTATTGTATAATCTTATTCTGGCCAGACATTCAGTGCCTCAGAGGACAGCCCAGGAGAAGCCCCTGCAGTCCCAACATTTGTTGTCATGACTGATTTTGGAGGCGGGGCTTATCAGTCTGTTTACATGTGAGGTCATGTTTTCTGACAGAGAAATAGCCTCAGAGTGTTGGAGGCGGTAAGAGGATTGGGAGCAGATTAAAGGCTGCAGTCAGGACGTCCCTTGGTTTTTGTCTTTGTCTCTCAGTGTGGACAGGCGAGACTGACTGCTGTCTGTCAGCAAAACATTCACACCTCAGTTACAGACGTTTGGCTCTTCTCCCTGCTCACACATCATATCAGATATGACATGAAATCTTTCATACTGCTTTTTTTTTTTAAAGTTTGACCAAAATGTCTGCCCAAGGGCGTCAGAAGCAGCCGTAATGTGGGGGGGACACAACGATGTGTGTAGGTGAGTGTGCGTGCGTGTGCACAAAAGAAATGTACACTAATGTACAAAAAAAAAGCAACATTTCACCTAGATTTCCTTTAATTCCACACATTTAAAGCATATTTCTCACCAAGTTTGTGTAAATTCAGCTGTGGGTTTTAGAGACATTTTAACTTTAGTACACTTTAATACAGAGCGTCAGATCTGCACTATTTGTGTTTATACAGAAATAAAAAACATCACCACTAGACATTTTTACTTGTGTTTAACACTACTCATCTAAATGATGTTTCTCACAAAGCTTGAGCAATAAGGTGTGGGGTTTTAAAGACATTTCAACTTTAATGCACCTGAACACACAGCGTCTCTTACACCTACAGCATCTTACAGCGTCACAGTTACTGCTAAGAGAACATGCTACAGACGTAGCGCTGCACTCAAGCATCCTCCTAACATGAATATATGTTGATGATCAACCCCCTAGTCAAAAACTGCCCCCACTAAGCTCGCTAAACTGCGAGTGAGCAACACAGAGGTGTCTCCATCTCCTGCACCTGTGCGCATTTTCTACCGAAGCAGGAGACTCAGCAGCGGCTGCCTGCACAGTTTCTGCTCTGTGTGTAGAGGTGGAGGTAACCTGGAGGTAACCAGGAAAGCCTGGAGTGGAGTTTTATTAGATTGCGTATTCTCCTATTAATCAAGTGGAATGGATTCATTCACGAAGAAACAGAAACTGCGCCGCCTGAACTAATGTTTCATAGTAAATTCAAAAAGCGTTCAATACAAAAACAACTGGACTTTATTTGTAACAGAAGACGTTTCGCTCCTCATCCGAGGAGCTTTCTCAATTCAAAGAGCAGAGAGTGAGAGATACAGGTTATAAGGCTGAGTGAGATAAGACACACACACACACATAAGACACACACACACACACATATATATAGATTGGCAGTTCACACCTAAAACCTAAAACAGTAGGTCTTTGTTCCTCTAATTCACAGACGAGGCCCCCTCTGTTCCCATCAGGTGTGAAAACCGGCTGGGAATCTGTTTTAAAGTTGCATTATATGTTTTTGAAAGTGGGAATCTGAGGCCTCCTCCTCTGTTAAGAGATGGTTTTTCTCTTTTTACATAAATTGCTTCCTTCACCCCCCTCTCAAACCATCTGTGTTCTCGGTCCAAAATGTGCACATTTTGGTCCTCAAAAGAGTGTCCCTTATCTGTGAGATGGAGGTGAACAGCTGAGTCTTGTCCTGTGGAGCTGGCTCTCCTGTGTTGAGTCATACGTCTGTGAAGAGGCTGTTTAGTTTCTCCAATGTAGAGGTCTGGACAGTCCTCGCTGCACTGGACCGCATACACTACACCACTCTGTTTGTGTATGGGTGTCTTGTCCTTAGGGAACAGATGGGACTGATGGGAACAGAGGGGGCCTCGTCTGTGAATTAGAGGAACAAAGACCTACTGTTTTAGGTTTTAGGTGTGAACTGCCAATCTACATATATGTGTGTGTGTGTGTGTGTCTTATGTGTGTGTGTGTCTTATCTCACTCAGCCTTATAACCTGTATCTCTCACTCTCTGCTCTTTGAATTGAGAAAGCTCCTCGGATGAGGAGCGAAACGTCTTCTGTTACAAATAAAGTCCAGTTGTTTTTGTATTGAACGCTTTTTGAATTCATCATGTCCTGGATGACTGAGAATCTTCACCAGCATGTTTCATAGTAAAAGTGGGGGAGTCCAAATGAACGTTTTTTTTTATGTGGGGGGGACTTGTCCCCTTCATATATAATGGTTGCGACGCCTATGTGTCTGCCTCTGTTATTTGTCAACATAAGAAAAACGGTGGCATCAAAGGCAGCGGGCGATATGTATTTCTTCCATTTTCATTTACTAAATGATTTCTGCTGTATTTGTAGGTTTTTCAAAGTAGAGCTGGATGAAACATACTTCCAGCTGTCAGCTCTGCAGACTGCAGGTCTTAGACCTTAACCTTCAATTGTTTTTTTTTTATTATTTTACATTTGGTGTTGTTTGAAACCTTCTATGCCATTTTTTGACCTTTGATGCCGTTTTTTTTTTTTTTTTTTTTTACCTTGGATGCCGTTTTTTAAACTTCGATGCCATTTGTTAGCCTTTGATGCCGTTTATTAAACTAAGATGCTGGTTATTAAACTTTGATACCGTTTATCAACCTTCATTGCCATTTATTCACCTTCAATGCCGTTTTTGTTAACCTTCGATTCCGTTTACATTCCGTTTAATTTTCGATGCTGTTTTTTTAAAACATTCGATTCAGTTTTTTCTCCTTCGATGCCGTTATTTTTACTTCGATGCAGTTTTTTAACCTTCAATGCTGTTTTTAACCTTCAATGCTGTGTATTGTCCTTTGATGCCCTTCAATGCCATTTTTTTTAACCTTCGATGCCGTTTATTAAACTTGATGCCGTTTATTTTAAATTAACCTTAGATGCTGTTTTTTACAGTTAATGCCGTTTTTAACCTTCAATGACATTTATTGACCTTTGATGCCCTTAAATGCCATTTATTAACCTTCGATGCTGTTTTTTTAATATTTAGATGCTGTTTTTAATCTTTTATTGCCATTTTTTAACCTTCAATGCCGTTTTTAACCTTCTATGTTGTTTTTTAACCTTCAATGTCATTTTTTAACTGCTGTTTTTGAACCTGTGATGCAGTTTTTGAACCTTTGATGCTGTTTTTTTTTTTAACCTTCAATGTGACATGATGCTGCTGTTTGGTTGTTGAACCCACGTGCAAGAAAGCAGGACGACTCCGTAGTAAAAGTAATAATAATTTATGGAACAAAAACAAAGTGCTGACGGGGCAGCAAAACTTACTTACTTCAGGAGTAGATGACAGGTGGAGCAGAGACAGATCATGACACTGTGGTAAGGACAACGCCTAGATGACAAGGGCGTGAAAATAAGTAGAATATATACTAACAATAACTAGACAGAGAGAGGAGCTGCTGGGGTGATTAGAATGAGAGTCAGCTGTGTATGAAGATGAGAAAAAACACAGGTGCAGGAAACACAGAACATACAGACTCTTCTTACAATGCTGGTTTTTAACTTTGATGCTGCTTTTTCTAACTTTCAGTGATGGTTTTTTTTTGCCTCCAATGTTGTTTTTTAACACCCAAACTGTTTGATAATCTTTGATGCTGTTTTTTTAACCTTTGATGCTGTTTTAATCATCCTTACCCTGAACTCCACAGGGATCATGAACAACGTCATCAAGAAAGCAAGAGAAAAGGGACAGTGGAAGGTAAAGACTTGTGTTTGTGGTTAATCTTGTTTGGTCAAACCTTACATGACATGTTGACATGTTGCCCTGCTGCAGGTGCTGGTGGTGGACAAACTGAGCATGAGGATGGTTTCCTCCTGCTGCAGGATGACCGACATCATGTCAGAGGGAATCACCAGTATGTAACAATTCAATGAACATCTCTAACATCACCCGTCCTCTTTGATGGAAGCAAAACACGGACTGGAGTGTGATTCTTCAACTAGTAATACTAGTTTGATTAACCTTTACCCCAGCAGCTGGCACTTTCAGATACAAACAGGTCATTTTTATGTCTTAACATTCATTGAAACTCCGCCGGAGGTCACAACACTTGTTTAGCTGCTGGAGCTGCTGCCTCATGAACACAAGTTTCAGCTTCAACTCCCTGTCTTTCTGTGCACATTCTCCAGGTACCCCACTGTCCTCCCACAGATCAGAATCCTTCGTGCTAGGTTCAATGGTAACTCTAAAATGTCCCTAAATGAGAGAGTGAATAGTTGTTTGTCTTGTTTGTCTCAGTGTGTCCCAGTGATGGGCTGGAGACCTTTCCAGGTGTCCCTTTGTTGGATTGGAGACCTGTCCAGGTGTCCTGTGTTGGACTGGAGACCTGTCCAAGATGTCCCCCGCCTGTCTTAAGGGTGTCCCTTGCTTCTCACACAGTGACTGCTGGACATGGACACCAGCTGCCCTGCTAAGTAGAAAGGAAAAGATATTAAAGGAAATAAATGATTTTAGACAGGCGGAGGACAGGGCAGCCTCTGTCTCACTGTGGCTTTGTGTTGAGCAACACCTCTGCTTCAGAGACAAGATATTACAGTAGTCCGTCAATACTTTGTGGTTTGTTATTCGCGGACTCGCTCCACCGCGGTTTTTCAAAATAAGATTGGACATGACACACAATTGGCTGATTGATTGATGTGCTGCATGATCGGCATGGGATTTTTATTTAAAATAATTTATTTTACATTATTTTGCATCTGCTGCAAAGTGGGTGTGGCTGAGAGCGTTGGCAGAGTGCAGCTGGAGGCAGAGAGCTGAGATCATGATATTCTGTGCTCATTTAGAGCGTGAAGAATTTAGAAACATTGTTTCGAATATTGCAAGAGTGTGGAAAGAGTTTACAACAGCTATATATATATATATATATATATATATATATATATATATATATATATATATATATACACACACATATATATACACATACCCAAACCGGATTCAAAAAAGTTGGTTCACGAAACAAATTGTGAATAAAAACTGAATGCAATGATGTGGCGATGGCAAATGTCAATATTTTATTCGTAATATAACATAGATGACAGATCAAAAGTTTAATCTGAGTAAATGTAACATTTTAATGGAAAAATATGTTGATTCAAAATTTCACAGTGTCAACAAATCCCCAAAAAGTTGGGACAAGTAGCAATAAGTGGCTGGAAAAAGGAAATTGAGCATATAACGAACAGCTGGAAGACCAATTAACACTAATTAGGTCAATTGACAACATGATTGGGTGTAAAAAGAGCTTCTCAGAGTGTCAGTGTCTCTCAGAAGCCAAGATGGTAAGAGGATCACCAATTCCACTATTGTTGTGCAAAAAGATAGTGCAACAATACCAGAATGGTGTTACCCAGCGTAAAATAGCAAATACTTTTAAGTTATCATCATCAACCGTGCATAACATCATGAAAAGATTCAGTGAATCTGGAATAATCACTGTGCTTAAGGGTCAAGGCCGTAAAACTCTACCGGATGCTCGTGATCTCCGGGCGGGTAAACGTCACTGCACCTCAAACAGGAATTTCACCGACAAGGAAATAACAGAATGGGCTCAGGAATACTTCCAGAAAGCATTGTCAGTGAACACAATCCACCGTGCCATCCACCGTTGCTAGCTGAAACTCTACAGTGCAAAGAGGAAGCCATTTCTAAGCAAGCTCCACAAGTTCAGACGTTTGCACTGGGCCAGGGGTCATTTAAAATGGAGTGTGGCAAAATGGAAGACTGTTCTGTGGTCAGATGAGTCACGATTTGAAGTTCTTTATGGAACACTGGGACGCCATGTCATCCGGACCAGAGAGGACAAGGATAGCCCAAGTTGTTATCAACGCTCCATTCAGAAGCCTGCATCACTGATGGTATGGGGTTGCATGAGCGCTTGTGGCATGGGCAGCTTGCATGTCTGGAAAGGGACCATTAATGCAGAGAACTATGTTCAGGTTCTACAACAACATATGCTCCCATCTAGACGTCATCTCTTTCAGGGAAGACCCTGCATTTTTCAACACGATAATGCCAGACCACATTCTGCAGCAATCACAACATCATGGCTACGTAGGAGAAGGATCCGGGTACTGAAATGGCCAGACTGCAGTCCAGATCTTTCACCTATAGAGAAGATTTGGCGCATCATAAAGAGGAAGGTACGACAAAGAAGGCCCAAGACGATTGAACAGTTAAAGGCCTGTATTAGACATGAATGGGAGAGCATTCCTATTTCTAAACTTGAGAAACTGGTCTCCTCTGTCCCCAAACGTCTGTTGAGTGTTGTAAGAAGAAGGGGAATGCCACACAGTGGTAAAAATGGACTTGTCCCAACTTTTTGGGGATTTGTTGACACCTTGAAATTAGGAAACAACAGATTTTTCCCTTAAAATGATGCATTATCTCAGTTTAAACTTTTGATCTGTGATTTGAGTTCTATTCAGAATAAAATATTAGATGCTGGCACCTCCACATCATCGCATTCAGTTTTTATTCACAATTTGTTTAGTGTCCCAACTTTTTTGGAATCCAGTTTGTATGTGTATATACCATACCAATTTATTTCTAAAGCACGTAAAATACAACATAGCAGCTGTCTGAAGTGCTGTACAAAAATAAAAACAAACAAAATACAATAAAACAATAAAAACAACTAAATATATATATAAAAAATAATCAGAACATCACAAGTAAACAAATACATTAAGACACAGATGCTAGCTCACTAGGTTAAAAGACAATGAAAAAAAGGTGTTTTTAAACAAGTTTTAAAAACAGAGATTGATGGGGCCTGCCTGACCTCCAGCGGCAGCTCATCCCACAATTTAAGAGCCAGAGCTGAAAATGCTCTGTCTCTTATGGATTTATAAAAGTTTTTCGGAACTGCTAAAAGCATCTGGTCAGAGGATCTAAGAGCATGTGATGGCATGCAAAGGTGAAGCAGTTCAGACAAATAAGAGGGACTAAGACCATTCAAAGACTTAAAAACAAACAGAACTTTAAAATGGATTTGAAACTGAACAGGAAGCCAGTGAAGGAACATCAGAACTGGAGTGATGTGCTCAAGCCTGCCTGTACCAGTCAAAAATCATGCAGCAGCATTTTGTACCAGCTGTAACCGTGAGAGTGAGGCATGGCTAACTCCTATCAAGTGAGAGTTACAATAATCCAGGCATGAAGTAATAAAAGTGTGGATTACTGTCTCTAAGTGGTGCCTAGAAAGGAGGGGCTTGATTTTTGACAGGCGCCTCAGCTGAAAGAAAGACGACCTAACCACTTTGTTGACATGGCAGTCAAGTGTCAGGCAGGGGTCCATTTTCACTCCTAAATTTGTCACAGTGTATTTTTCATATGGGGCCAAAGAAGAAAAATCTAAAGTGGGGAAACTGCTAGGACCACAGGATTTAAAGACCATAACCTCAGTCTTTGTTTTCGTTAAAATGGAGGAAATTAAGTGCCATCCATTCTCTAATGTCATCAAGACAGTCTAGGAGAGACTGAGTGGAGCCATTGTGTTTCAAAGGGAAGTAGACTTGACAGTCATCTGCATATAAATGAAATTGCACATCGATTTCTGAAAATAGAACCCAGTGGCAGAAGATAAAGTGAAAACAGGAGAGGACCAAGAATAGAGCCCTGGGGTACCCCCGAGGGGAGGGCAGCAGAAGCAGAGGTAAAATTATCCATCATCACACTGAAACTTCTGTCAGAAATATAGGACCTAAACCACTGCAGAGCTGAGCCAGTGATGCCCACCCACTGCTCCAGTAGATGAGAATGTCATGGTCGACTGTGTCGAAAGCAGCTGTTAAATCTAAAAGCACAAGTAAAACACAGTTTTCAGAATCCAGTGCTAAAAATATGTCATTAAAAACCCTTAAAAGAGCAGATTCAGTACTGTGGTACATTTTGAAACCAGACTGGAAGACATACACAATTTTAAATTCATCCAAAAAGGCCTTCAAGCTGGGTGTAAACAACTTTTTCCAAAATTTTGGATATAAAGGGTAACTTTGAGATTGACCTAAAGTTCGACAAAGAGGATGGATCAAGGCCAGGTTTTTTCAACAATGACTGCACCACAGCATGCCTACAACTGCTTGGTACCACAGTAAACATCAAACTGCTGTTGATCACATTTAGGATAAAGGAGCCAACAGTAGAAAATACCTCCTTAAGAAAACATGGAGAAAAAACATCAAGGGGGGAACCCGATGATTTCATACTGGTGACCAGTTTCTCTAGATAAAAGAGGGAAATAGGCTCCAAATGATCAAAAACAGCAGGTTAGGGGACCAGGATGGAAGGGTCATGGGATGGAAAAGAGATACAAGCCCTAGTGTTAATAACCTTGTCCAAGAAAAAATGAAGAAACTTATCACAAAGTTCTTCGGATGCTTCAAGAGGGACCGGTTCATGTGCACTGAGGACAGTGTTGATTGTATTATAAAGAACATGGCGGTTGTGAGAGTTAGCAACAATAATGTCAGAGAAATATTTTACTCTGGCTGTTTTCACAGCTTGTTGATAGCGACGCCAACTATCTCTCAGTATATCAAAAGAGACTTGGAGTTTGTCCTTTCTCCACTTGCGTTAATTTCTCCTGCATTCCTGTCTAATGGCACGAGTATGGTCACTCAACCATGAGTCCGATCTTGGCTTTGATTGCCTGGTTTTAATCGGGGCCACATCATTCAAAACAGAATGGCATAAAGAATCAAAATATAAGGAAAGCTCCTCAGTGCTGAGAGACACAGAGAGCGGTGAATCTAAACGATTAAAGACAGTGGAGAAATGGGCAGCAGAGGACGAGTTAAAAACACGGCAGCGTCGAGCAGGAGCTTAACAGGTTTAGAAACAGGAATAAAATCA